CAACCCCCCGGGGCCAAATCCTTGCTCTATCCGATTCCAGCCGGCAGGCCTGGCTGAGAGCCTGTGCCTCAGTTCCCCCATCTGTATAATGGGAACACTTAACAGCACCTGCTTCATGGGGCTGGGGGAGACTTGGAACAGCGCTGGTGAGCAGTCGCCTTGGTGCAGGTGTCTGTTCTGATGACCCCAGCCGCCTGGCACGGGCAGGGGACTCAGCACCTGAGGACACAGGGGCAGGGCGGGGAGTGGGTAACCTGCCCTTCAGTTCCTGCTCCCCAAGGCTTACCTCTCCTCCAAGGGCTCAGCCTGCATCCTGCCCCAGGTGATATCTGGTCCCTGGCAGCCCCAGGCCCTGGTGCTCGGTGGGGCCTGCACACTGAGTACGGGGCCACTCGGAGCCGCCCTTTGAGGGGCCAGAAGGGCTGACTCCTGGGTCTGCTTGTGGCCCAGACGCCACCTGGAGAAAGCAGGCCGGACCTGGGATGGTGGAGTCCACCTGTCCACACCTGTGGTCGTCCACGCCCCCTGGCCTGTCCCCTTCAGGGCTCTTATGGGTCTGGAGAAAGGCCCCTTTTGGGAGGTTGTGAATGATCTAAAACTCCTCTCTGTGCACTTGTCCCTTTGTGGGCTCCTGCCATCATTTAGGTCCAGTCACCTCCTCTGAGGGGCCTTCCTTGAACATCCTGCCACTGCCACCCCCATGCTTATTACCATCAGGGCACCACTGCCAGCTTTCTTGACCACGGGCACTTGATGGGGAGCATGTTGATCCCCACCTCCTGCCCCGTCCCCACCACTAGAAGGAGTGTATCAGGGAGGCTTCCGGGAGGAAGTGGTGTCCCAGCTGACACCTGAGAACCAGCAGGAGAGGCCAGGAAGGGAGCACAGCGCATTCCAGGACCTGCAAATAGCTCACGACCCTAACGATAGCACCTGGGAGCCCCATCAGGAGGTGAGCCTGGGCAGGTGCCCCCAAGGTGATGCCTGGGCCAGGCTGCACGCCACGTCTTCATCTGCCCGTGGGCATGATGGGCGGGTGCCAGGCTCAGAGTGACGCCAGCATTGCCATCGCAAGCCCCCTCCTTGGGTCTGACGTCTTCTCGGTTCTCAGGCCGATTCCCAGATTCCCCAATGGAAACGGGAATAGGAGTCCCCTGCAGCTGGCCTCGTGCGGAACGGCTCCTGGGAACCTGCACCACGTTCTATTCATATCTGTTTTGAAATCAGGCAACAGTCCTCGCCTGCCTGCAGTCTGACTATATTTTCCTGCCACCCCCCCCATTATAATCACAAGTGGATTTATTTAAATGAGGCATTAAGTCATATTAAACGTGTTTGTCTGTTCAAGAGGCTGAAGGTACAAGGGTGGAGGTCCTGTTGGTTTCCTGGGGCCGTCACAACGAAGTACGCTAAACCACACAGCTTGAACAACAGAAATGTGTTCTCTCCCAGTTCTGGAGAGTCACGTCTGAAATCGAGTTGTAGGTAGGCCCCGCCCCCACCCCCGGAGGCTATAGAGGAGGATCTCTCCTGCCTCTTCCAGATTCTGGGGGCTCCAGGTATCCCCGGGCTTGTGGCCGCGTCCCTCCAGCCTCTGCCTCTGTCCTCACGTGGCCTGTCCCCGTGGCTGTCTCCTCTTCTTTCAAAGATACCGGTCATATTGGAGTTAGAGCCCACCCTACTCCAGTGGGATCTCATCTTAAGTAATTACATTTGCAAAGAGCCTCCTGTTTCCAGATTAGCTCACACTGTGGACTTCTGGGTGGACGTGGATTTGCGGGGTTGCATTGTTCAGTCCAGTACAACAGGGCAGCTGCTGCAGGTGTCCTTGAGTTTCTGGAGCCTCTACACGATGTGAAGGCTGAGGGGCTCGGGGGGTGGCCTCCCACTGCCCACCTCCCACTCAGGGACCTGCCCTCACCCTCCCAGGCCCCGGCAGCGTCCCCAGGGACCCGGGGCGAGTCGCCTGCCCTCCGGCAGCAGACCCACTGGTTGCCTGCGCTTCCTGCCTTGCCATATCAGCTTTAAAAACCCACTCCCAGGGGACTTCCCCGGCAACCCAGTGGTTAAGACTATGCGCTTCCACTGCAGGGAGTGCGGGTTCGATTCCTTGTTGGGGAACTAAGATCTCACATGCTATGGGCCAAAAAAAAAAAAAGAAAGAAAAAAACCACTCTCAGCATGGGGGGCCTTGTGTCTTTTTTTTTTGTTTTGGCTACTGTTCCCTGACCAGGGATTGAACCTGCACCCCCTGCATTGGAAGGGCAGAGTCTTAACCACTGGACCACCAGGGAAGTCCCTCAAGACACGTTCATTCTGACAAACACCCAGGCTTTGCTGACACCGGAGCCTTGCAGTGGCGTCTCTTACTCTGTGGGCGCGATCCTTTCTGACTACCCACTGACAGCAGAAGCACCAGCAAACGGATCTCCACTGGGCTGGTTCCTCCTCAGCCAGGAGGGTCCCAGCTCTTCACGGGCTAAGGCCACCCTCGTGCCCTTGGCTGGAGGCCACAGCCCGTCCTCCTGCCGCCCCATCCTCCACGCTGCCCGCCAGCACACTGGTGGCATTCTGCTGCCCAGCGTCCTTCCGTGATCCCTGCTGCCCCCAATGAACTCAGAACGGGGCAGGCACAGCGGGCATCAGTTCGTTGAAAAGTCCCCAGATGATGCTAAGTAAGACCAGGGCTGAGAGGTGCTGGGATTAGAACTCCAAGGCCCTTTCGTTTTCCCACCGTCGTAACTTTGACACCACCAGGCTCTGAGCTCACGCACACCTGTTAACAGCCCCTCTACGCAGGTCCCCAGCCTGGCTCGCCCTCCGGCCATGGGGAACTCAGGGGGTTACCCTCCAGGGGTGGCCCTGCCCTTGGTTTCTGCTCCTTGTTCGGCCTGACTCCCCGCAGACTGAGCTCAGGAGGACGGGCGCCCTGTCTTCCTTCCCACCTGGAGACTGTGCCTCATCTCGGGGCCACTGACTGATGGCAAGGCCTTGGCTAAGCAATGTCCCAGGTGGACACTATCGTCCCCACCTCCAGAGGAGGAAATAGAGATGGGCTGGATGACTCCCTCAGCCCCCCAGCTCCAAAACGGCTGGACCACAACCAACCTGGCCCTGGAGGGGCCCTGCCCCTCGCCTCTCGTGGGCACTGCTCAATGAGTAACCCCCGGGGCTGGCAGAAGAGAGGGAGCACGGGGCCCCAGAAGCACCCGACATCCCTCCCCAGGGCGGTGGCCCCCAGGTCATGATGCTCTAATGACAAGGACACATGGAGACAGGAAGAAGCAGCAGATGACATCAGAAAATAGCCACCATCTATTCCGTGCGGAGAGGGCCGCTATCTGTAAACTCAGAAGGAAGGCGTCGGGAGCCTGTCCCCAAACTGTTACAGGCTCGCTCTAGATGGCCTTAAGGGGAAACTCCGTCGTTACTTTAGTCTGGTACTCTTCTGCATGATTCGATTTTTAAATAGTGAACCTGTGATTTTTTTAATAATGAAAACACGAAAGATTTCTCTTTGGGGAGAAGCACGAAGACAATTTTGGCTCTTACCGCTGGAAAGAGGTTTCATGCACACACGCAAAAGAAACTTTTTACAGGTGAACTGACATTTTACAAGTTAAAGGAGTTTTCCACCCCATCTTGTTCCAGAAGGTTCTGCTGCAGCCTGTAAGGGTGCAAAGGCCGAATGCAAAGGGAACAGTGAGGACGTTCCTGACCAGGAGCCCCCAGGCCACCCCCTGCAGGTGCCGCGACCCACCCCGGTCGTCCACTAAAGACGAGAGGGTTTCCTGGCGGCACGTTTTAAACAACACTTGATCACGAAGAGTCTGGAACACAGGAAGGTAGAGAGGATGACCTGGGGCACAGATAGACGCCGGCCACTCAGGTGTGACCAGAAGCATCTGTGTTAATTTGCTTCATGAGTTTTCTTTGTTGAAGACTCAATTACCACGCCACGGTGTCCCAAACACGTGTGGACACGTGTGGACACAACTGGCGCGATCGCACGAACAAAATTCACCAGATTCCTTAGCAGCACACCACGCCCATGCGCACGTGTCCCCAAACATCTCTGCGGCCGGCTTGTTCAAAGCTATCAAGGTTCATACACGGGAGGTGGTGGTTTTGTTTCTCGAATCTCTCCCGAGTCCCGAGGAGGGCGCCGCCTTCTCGATGAGTCTGCCTGCCTCTCTGTGGCACCTGCCGCCTGTGTCTCGGTCCCCAGTACTGCCGGTGAGCAGGAAGTGAAACGGACAGTCTCCTCCTCCAGGTGGGGCCCCCGACCAGAGGCAGGGGCATCACCCTGGGACCTGGAGGAAACGCAGGACCTCCAGCTCCACCCAGATCCGAGTCAGGGTCTGAGATTTAACGAGGTCCCGGGCAGCACGGCTGAAAGCTTTGTTCAGTACCTACTCCGTGTTTTTAGTGGAAAGACTCCTCTGTGCAGGTGAGGCCGGGCTCCCCCCTGCAGGCCACCCCTCAGGCCCACATGTCCCTCTCGGGGGATGCTGAGACTGAGTGCTGGGGGGAGGGGGTGATGGGCAGAGCTCCGAGTTGTAAGGTGACAGGCGCACCTTTCCCGGTCCCCTGTGACCGACAAGCCACCTGCGAGGGGACGCTTTGGCGTCATGAAAACAGTCGGCTCCCAACTTTCAGCAGGGGTCTCGGCGTCCACTGCCAGCCCTGGCTGGAGTCGGGGCTGCACTCGGGGCCCCAGAACAGAGGCGTTCCAACTGTCCTGTTTTGTCCACTTCTACTCGCTGGCACTGCTGCCCTTCAGTGGGGACATTGGTGGCTCTGAAATAGTTTCCATGGAGGGTGGGAGACGTTTAATCCTGCCACCTTTTTTTTCTGGCCACGCCACACAGCTTGCGGGATCTTAATTCCCCGACCAGGGACTGAACCCAGGGCCATGGCAGCGACAGCACAGAGTCCTAACCACTGGACCGCCAGGCAAGTCCCAATCCTGCCACTTATAAATAACTAAGTCTGTGAACCAGGTGTCACCTCCAGTGGTGACAAGTTCTTATGTCTTGGTCTTCTTTGCTTTTGAGAATAAGTGTGGATGCCTGGATTTCAATGACCCCTGCTTTTCAGGGCTCCAGTTTTCACAGACTCAGCCGGGGGAAGCTCCTGAGGCTTTTTACTTTGAAATCATGAAAGGTTCCCGGGAAGCTGCAGCAGAGGGGTCCCTGTGCCCTTCACATGGTTTCCTGACAGCTACATCTTGCCAAAGATGAACCCTGGGACACCAGCCCTGGTGTCACGTGGCCATGGGCGTAGATTCCTCAGCCACCACTGCGGTCGAAGGGTGAAGGGTCCGGACTGTCCCTAGTCAGCCCCCACCCAGCCCCTGGCACCGCTACGCCACTCTCTCTAGTTCTGTCCCCTCGAGTCATCTCACTGGAATCTCACTGCGCGTGACCCTCTGCCCCGATGCCCTGGAGACTCTCCTGGCTGCTGTGTGTGTTCCTGGTCTGTCCCGCGTCCTTCTGACACAACCCCTCCGTCTGGGACGCTTCCCCTCAGGGTACCGGGATGCCCTGGGCCTCCACGTGCGCTCGCCCTCGGCCTGGAATTGGCCGCTTCTCCCAGGAGAGGGGATGGCACTCAGAGCCTGGAAGCTGGCCCTGGGGGAGCTCGTGGCCACCGGGGTGGTCCCCTCTCAGCCTGCATGGCCGGGAAATACCTACTGTTTACAAGTCAAGCGTCAGTTCCTCCGTTGTCTCCTCCGTTCGTGTTTAACAGCACGTGATCCTCTGGTGCTTTTCCTCACGATGGATGAATGCGGGGCTGCTGATGTCGAGGCACGTGTCCACTGCCCACACAGAGCGGAGGGTGACGACCACGCCAGCACCATGCCCAGCGACACAACAATGGAACCAAGTTTGACTTCTCTGCATGGCTTTGGCCTCAGGACACACCCTCCGGAAGATGTGCAGCGAAGCGGCAGGTCCTCAAACCAACCAAAGGGGCCCTTTTCTCACCGGTTTGATTGCGGTTTTGCAGCAGGTGGCGCTTCCCTAAACAGCTGCCACGCTTTCCGGCCCCTGCCACTGCCGCCACAGGGAGGGGCCTGCAGGTGGGCCCTGGGGCAGCCTCCCCTCAGGGAGGATGGAGGGGGTCCGCGTGACCTCTGAGGTTAGATCCCAAAGGGCACGTGGTGCCCAACTCTCCTGGGACCCGCAGAGGCTGCCGACCTGGAGGCCACAGCCCAGCATCCCCCGCCCAGGACCCGGGCATGAGCACGCAGACCCCCCGCCCTCTGACCGCACCCGGTGTGGGGCCCTGACTCAAACCCGCCCAGAGGAGCCGGTCAACCTGGAACCCCCAGGGTCAATAATAAGGTCATTGTCACTTCAGGCACTAAATGCTGGGGTGACTTGTTAGGTGTATAACTGCCCTGGGTTTGCTCCACTTCGTTTTGGGGCCTTTTTTCTTACTGGCTTATTTTTTTTAACGTAGAACATTTACAAGGTTCAAAAGTCGAACATATGCAGGGCCTGTCCTCGTGGGGTCACAGCTGTCGTGCTCCACGTGTGGCTGGGTGGGTGGGAGCCCCCCAGAGCAGCCGGCACCGGCCAGCAGGCTGCTCCCCGCCTGCTCTGGGGGTGATGCTCCTACGAGCGGGCCACGGGGGTGAAGGGTGAGCGTGGCCACCACTGGACAGTGCCAACCCCGACCCCAGCCCCCTGCCTCGCCATCGCCGCGAGCGAGACCTGGATGTCGTCTCCCAGCCCCGAGGGCTCCATCGCCGGTTCTCGCGGATCTGACCTGGCCCCGCGCTTCTGCAGGTGGAGCCGATCCCGGCTCGCTGCCACCCTGCTCCATCCAGGCCTGGAGCTCAGGTGGGGATTCTCAGCCCCGGGAGTAAGAATGCGAGAGCAGGCTGGTGAGGACACGCTCGCCTGGCTGGGACCTGGGGACATCGCTGCCCTGTGCTGCTGAGATTCCCCCCTCCTCCCATCTCATCGCCAGCCGTGCTGAGCCGGCCCGCCCGCCCGCGGAATCGCTGCGGAGACAGGGCGCCGAGCTGACCCAGCAGGACCCGGGCACCCGGCCGAGCAGCCTTTGTGCGAGGCGCCAGCGGGCTCTGCCAGCTTGAGCCTGTCTTTTTCCTACTCAAATGCCTCCTAATGCGCCTACACACCAGAGATTAGCCGATAGCCATCTGCACGGGGGCAGGGGCGGGGGGGGACAGTCCTCAGCTGCAGCCGCTCAGTGGCCTGAGCTCCCGTGTCGTGACCTGCTGACCACGCAGCCCGGCCGGGCCCCCTCGTGCGCTGACCATGCAGGGTGACGGCAGACAGAGCCCGGCCTCGCGTTGGGAAGACTTTATTGCTGACGTTTCAGAGCCGGAGGTGGCCCAGCCCTCTCCGGACAGAACCCTTAACTTAGGCCCCGAGCGCGGGCGGCAGAGTCCCCGGGGCGGGGAGCTGGTGCCCCCGGGGCGGTGTGGAGCCTCGGCCCCACCTTCACGGGATGCTTCCATTCTGAACCAGCTGCAGGTATTCCTGGTGCAGCTTTTCCTGGGCCTCGAAGAGCTTCTTCAGCTTCTTGGCCTGCCCTTTGCTCAGCTCTTTGCCTTCCGTGTCGTGTGTGGGCAGACCCTGAAAGGCGAGAGCACGGGCGGTCACCGCCCACCGACCAGGCCAGTCCGCCTGCCCGGCATCCACTCCCCGCCACGCTCTGGACCCAGCGCACTGCTCCGAGGTGCCCGTGCTAGCCTCTGGGAAGCGACCATCCTGGGGTGCCCCCCTGCCTGAGGGGTGAGGGGCACCGTTCCCCACCAGGTCGACATGGTTCTGATACGAGCAAATACGTACAAGACCAGTGAGGGAGGCCTGAGGGTCTCGAGGCCAAGCAGCCATGAGTAGCCACGCTGAAGAGCCCCTGGAGCAATGGGCACATCTGTGCCATGGCCCTTCTGGATTGTCTGTGGGGTGAGTCCCTGCAAATCCATCAACCGGCCCAGGCCACAACACCCGGCACCAGAGCCGCTGGGCCGCGGTGAGGGAGGGGCGGCCCTGGGTACTGGGCTGCACGTGCTGGACCTGAAACAGCCCCACATAAGCCCGCCTTCCTGCAAACAGCACCCTGGACAGAGAATCTTCTCAGCCAAGTTTGAAAACCCCTGTCATCCCAATTTAATGGTCTAACAACGTTCTGAAAAGAAAGAAAGGATTTCTTACGTTTTCATCGAACTTGGAATACTTGTCGCTTTCTGACAAGAACATCTCGCTGGGCGGAACCTTCATCTTGGCCAGCCTTGCCGCCTGGAACACAGACATGGGGTCGCTGCTCCGAGCCCGCGTGGGGACCCATGCCCGTGACCCATGCCCGTGACCCCGTGTCGGCTCCCACCCCAGCCCCCAGGTTCAGGGAGCGACGGCTGGGCAGAGGGAAGTGAAAGGAGGGAGCCAGGTGTTTTCTGCAGGAACAGGGGTACGGCCGTGCACGCAGCACAGCAGGATCAAGGCCACAGAAGCCGTCCTGGAGCTCGCGGCCACGTCTGTCCCTGCCCAGGGCTCCCGGCCTCCCTGGGGCACTGTATGAGGGGCCACCGCTGGGGACGGAGGCAGAGGGGGCGACCGGCTGGGCCCCAAGGAGGCACAGGGGGTAGGGCATGGGGTCAAAGTGCGTTTCCGCCAGCAGCCCGCCCCTGAGCAGACGTTACTTCCTGCTCTTGTCTCTTCCTGGCGGCCTCCTCTTTCTTCCTTCTCTTTTCTTCTTCAGCCTGGGGGACAGCAAACGCCCCGTGAGCTGGAGCTGCCCAGGCCCCTCTTGGGTGGGAGAGGGACAGGACAAGCTCCCTGCCGTCCCCCCGCCCATCCCTGTGAGCTGGGCTCTGACCCAGCCCTGCTCTCGACACGGGGCGGTGACTGGACACCATGCGTGAGGTCACCTGCAGCACAACCAACATGAAGAAAGGACCAGACCTGCCCGGCAGCAGGGGGGCTGCGGTCGGGTGCGGGACCAGGGACAGCACGGCGAGGGCCAACCCTGAGGGGCCCAGGCACCTGGGGAGGGCGGGAGGGGGGCTGGCTGGAGGAGACGGGTGGGAGCCAGAGCCCACTTCCCACCAGGCAGGCAGCGTCCGGGCAGGAGGCAGGGAGGGAGGGCCTGGGGGCTGGGCTGGGCGCCCGTGAGGAGGGGCCCGAGGCTGCCTCGGGAGGTTTGGGCTCGGGCCACCATGTGGATGGCGTGTGCCCCGGACAGGAAGGAGGAACGGGTTTGGGGAATGAAGGTCACGCGTTCCCTCTTGGACGTCTTGGGTTTCGGGTGCTTCCTGGCCAAGCGGAGCCCTCAGGTAGGCGGCTGGACACAGGAGTCTGGGCCAGAGAGGACTCGGCGGTCACAGGCACACAGGTGGCAGAGGGGCCCTGGGACGGGGTGAGGTCACCTGGGTGGGGGGACGCCAGAGAGGCGGGAAATGCAGGCAGTGCAGTGGGGGAAGCAAAGGGAGGGTCCCAGAGAGCAGGGGTCAAGGGCGGGGCCACCCAGGATGCGCCTTGTCACCGGAGAACCTGAGCAGAGCAGGAGGGGCTGAGGGTGGGCGGAGGAAGAGGGGCCCGGCACGGAGCTTGGGAGGTGGGAAGACGGGTGCCGAGGGCTTTTGCTTCTCCACTTAGAGACCGGAGGTGCTTATCCCGCTGGGGGAGCAGAAGACAGCCTACGAGGCCGTGGTCCCAGGCGCCTCCACACACGGGCGTTGGGGTGGGATTCCCTCGACTGGAAACTCGAGCTACCAGGGGGAAGGTGTATGGCAAATCCCTCCCGCGAAGGCCTTACGGCCAGTGAAGACATGGGCAGGGGTGACCGATCCAAGTTCACTGCCCCGTCTTCACGCCCCGGGCCGCCTGCGGGGAGAGCGGGAGTGAGCCCCACGTCACCTCCGGGGAAGGGCCGGGGCGGCCCACACGCTGCGGTGTCCAAGGATGGGGAGAACCCGACCCAGGGGACGTGACGCCAGCGGGGGTGACCGAACGGGATGGAAGGGGGGGAGGGGCCAAGAAGGGCCTGGACTGGGGTCAAAGCCCAGCTCCCGGAACCTCACACCAGCCTGACTCCAGCCAGACCTTCCCCGGCACCCGGGCTCCTTAATTCTCAAGCTCGGCCCCTCCTGGCGTCCACACCAGCGTCCCCGGCGCCCAGCGAAGCCCCGGGCCAGCCTCGCCGCTCTTCTCCCTGACCACCCACCCACCCGTCAGTTCTCCTTGTGGACACCTGTCGAGGCCCCTTCCCAGCCTCCCAAACTCCTCTCCCTGGGGTTTCTTCTTAAGGCCTCTCGGGCCCCGCACCCAGCGAGCTGTGCCCAGCAGATCTGACAGGCACTGCGTCTGTTCCTGCCTCTCTCTTTCTATGGGACGTTGAGGTCCCCGAGAGCAGGGACTGTCCCACTTCACGGAGTCCCTGGCTCAGCCCTGCTCACGGAGGTGTAGTAACATCAGAGGCGTGAGAAGGACGGTGCTGGGGGCGGGAGTGGGTGGAGGTGTGACTGTGACACATTCAACCCCAGGGACAGGGAGACACCACTTCAGGTGAGGGCGAGGTATGACCACACCTGTCAGCTTCGCAGTTTCCTAGAGGTGACAAGTCTTCCCTTGTACCCCGGGTCCTTCATCAGAAGCTGGATCTTGTTGTTGTTGTTAGAAAATTGCCAAGTAGTTACCTATCTAGTCTTTTTACTAAGAGTATAAATGCCAACTCCTAAAGATGAAGTATAAAAACTCCAGTGATATTTACTTTTTCAATAAACACCCAGCTCAGGGAGTTCCCTGGTGGCGCAGTGGTTGAGAATCCGCCTGCCAGTGCAGGGGACACGGGTTCGAGCCTTGGTCCGGGAAGATCCCACATGCCACGGAGCAACTAAGCCAGTGCGCCACAACTACTGAGCCTGCGCTCTAGAGCCCACGAGCCACAACTACTGAACCCCGCGCGCCTAGAGCCCGTGCTCCGCAACAAGAGAAGCCACTGCAATGAGAAGCCCACGCACCACAACGAAGAGCAGCCCCCGCTTGCTGCAACTAGAGAAAAGCCAGCGTGCAGCAATGAAGACCAAACGCAGACAATAAAAAAAAAATAAGAAGAAGAACAACTTAAAACAAAAACCAAAACACCCAGCTCAGGTCACTGCGGTTTTACTCACCCTTTTCTTCTCTTCTCTCTCTCTCAGTAAGGTATCTCTGTCCACCAACTTGACCACAGTGGGCAGTCCTGAAAGGCCAACAGCCGTGAGACGAGGCCGAGCCCAGCGCTGCCCACACCACTCCCGCCCACGGGGCCCCCGAGAGAAGCCGGGGCCTCCTTCCTGCTCGCATAGGTCAAATGGTAATTGTGCTGTGAGGAGGCCTTGCCGCTCAAGACCGAGCACCCAGGAGTCATAAAATAAGACATTCATCTGAGTGTTTAAAATCCAATAATTTTTCATGCAGCCCAAACTCCCACCAAGTCGAAACACAAGCTGTGAAACTTGCTGACGATCCACGTGACACAGGCTGCCTCCCACGTGACAGGCCATGAGAAAAGGCGGCCAGTGGCCCCGCAAAAACAGGGCCGCCGGGCAGTCAGGCCGCAGGAGAGGAGGTGCTGGCAGTGATGCCCACGAAGGTACAACTACAGGTCCCCCAGGACCACACATCACGGGGGGTTCACCACGTAAAAGGCGGAGCGTCCTCGGACCCGTCCCGGAGTTCTTCCTCTCAAAAGCAATCTCCACCCTGTGTCCCTCCCCTGACCCGGTGTCACGCCCAGAGGACCCACCTTCATGGTCTTCAAACCGCACCCCCAGCTCAGGCAGGATGTCGTCCCGCAAGGCATCGCTGAGCTGCAGGACCTCGGGGACTGTGGACAGAGGAAGCAGTTCGGTCCACTGGGCCCGGAAACGCCCGGGCCCCACGGAAGAGCGCCCCCCTGTGCCTCTGGAGGGGCCGGGCTATTCCACTGGCCACAGATGCAGGAGAAGCCGAGACACAGAGGTCGCGGCCACTGGTGAGCCCAGAGCAGCCCCTGGACCCGTGGCCTGTGCACCGGCTCAGGGCACTGCTCAGAGGCGGGCACTGACCGCAGAGGTGCACGGACTGGGGAGAGCCCTGCGGGCGGCAGGCCCAGGGGCACTAGGATTCTGCTGCACAGGAATGAGCTCCCCGGTCACTCGGGAAGGCGCCTGGGAGCGCCGAGCCCCCGCGGCCCTGGCAAGGCGATCCTGAGAGAGGCGGCCGCGTCCCACCGTCCAGGGCCCCGGCCCAGCAAGGGATCAGAAGGGGCCAAAGGCCTGGGGGTGGGACCCACGCCCCACCTCGGTGACACTCTGCCTTGGGCACTGGCGCTCCTGGCCAGCCTCGCCCCAGCCGAGGGAAGTGGTCGCCCAGAGCAGGGCTTGAACGGGCAGCGGCCCGGGGAGTCTGGCCGGCCCACTGGCTTTGAAGTGCCTCTTCCAGGAGAGATGGCACACACGCAGCAGCCAGAGTGGGCAGAGCTGAGCAGACGGCTGGCGTGGCCTCTGGGCCTGACGGGACGGGCCCTTCAAGTCTGGACAGTGTTAACCTCTGCACCACCTGGTTAGGGCCGGTGAAGGCCCACGAGCTCGGGGGAGCCTGGGAGAGTCCTGTAACGGCCATCACGGACGGCGCCCAGGGTGTTTGATGCCCAGCCAGACCAGGGAGAGGCCAGCCCGTTTGTACTTGGGCTTCAAGAGCCCATATGGGCTCAACCCCAACTAAACATGTTCGTGCAGACGTCAGGAGAGGCTCACCCGGACATTCCAGCTCTGAGACCCTGACCTCAGGGTGAAGCAGATTCAGCTCCGGGCTAAGAACTGGGCCAGTGGGAACTCCAGCTGGCGCCAGCAAAGCAGACCCCTCCCGCCCTGCGCCCTCCCTCCCTCCCCACAGCACTGACCACGGCCCACGTGGTCACTCACTCACCTGTCCTGTCTCCACTGTGTCCCCAGAACCCGGGGTGCTCCCGCAGCACTGTGCAGGTGCCCCGCAAGTCCACTCACGGGTGAATGAATGAACGGACGATGCCCCACACATCTCAGGGGATGCCCGAGCCCCGGCCACACGTGCGAGACGCACAGTCTCCCGCTTCCCAGCGCCAGTCAAGGAAAAGCCCCGTTCCAGCCCCGCAGCAGGGCTGGTGGGACGAGGCCCTTTGTATCTGGTCCCTCCCCTCATTCTGCCCCTCGGGGCCCCTTGCTCAGACGGGTCCCCCCAGAGCCCTGAGGAGACCCCAGGGCACCGGCCCAGGCAAGTGCCCAACGGATGCTTGCTCACCGTAACGGGAAGGGAAGCAGGCTGGCCCTGCCATCATTGCCACCAACTCCCCTCCACACCCTCAGGCCCAACCCCGCCTCCCCGCCATACCCCCAGGGGAGGGACACCCCTCCCTGGGGCCCCTCAGGCGCCATCCTCTAGGTGGCCTCCACAAGGCTGAGAGAGCGACCCTCACCTCCATCTGAGACCTGCTCTGGTCCGCGGAGCTCAAACGTGGCCCCGGGATTTCCTTCCAAACCTTCTTCTCACTTCAGGAGCCGGCTTTCTCTTCCACCCTCTCCCGACTTACATTTCTGAAGAGGGTCTAGTGCCCACCATAAAGAAAGAGCTCCTACAGCTCAATAAGACAAATGACCCAAGTAACAATGAGCAAAGGGGGGCCTCCCCGATGGCGCAGTGGTTAGGAATCCGCCCGCCAATGCAGGGGACACGGGTTCGAGCCCTGGTCCGGGAAGATCCCACATGACGCAGAGCAACTAAGTCCGCGTGCCACAGCTACTGAAGCCCGCACGCCTAGAGCCCGTGCTCCGCAGCAAGAGAAGCCACCGCAGTGAGAAGCCCGCGCACCGCAACGAAGAGCAGCCCCCGCTCGCCGCAACTAGAGAAAGCCCGCGTGCAGCAACGAAGACCCAAAAAACGCAGCCAAAAATAAATAAAAATAAATAGATTTTTTAAAAAAAATTATTAAAAAAAAAAAAAAAACGAGCAAAGGGCCTGAATAGACAACTCTCCAAAGGAGAGGTTCAGACGGCCAAGCAGCTCGTTGTCACTACTCGTCAGGGAAAATGCAAATCAAAGCCGCAATGAGATTCCCCTTCACACCCACCAGGACGGCTATTAACAATAACAGAAAATAAAAGGGGCTGACAAGGATGTGGAGAAATCGGAACCCTCGCGCGCACTGCTGGTGGGAACACATAATGGTTCAGCCACCATGCAAAACACTTTGGTGGGTCTTGAAAAAGTTAAACACAGAATTACCGTGTAATCCCACAATTCCTCTCCTAAGTGTGTACCCAAAACAACTAAAACAGGGACCCAATCTGATGCTTACACATGCATGTTCACAGCAGCCCTGTTCACCAAAGGTGCAAACACCCATCAACGGCTGAATGGATACATGGAAGCGGTACACGTATCTGGTGATCACTCTGCCCTAAAAACATGAAGCACCGCCACGTGCTACAGTGTGGACAACCCCGAAAACATTCTGCTGAGAAGCCAGAGAAAAGAGGTCACACCGTGTGACTCCATTTATGTGAAATGCCCAGAACAGGTCAACCCAGAGACAGAACACAGGTTGGTGGCTGCCAGGGGCTGGGGCAGGGGGCGTGACCCTGGAGGGTGGAAACATGCTGGGACCAGGAGACGGTGGCTGCACAACACTGGGAGGCACTCAGCGCCACTGAAGGGTTCACTTTAGAACGGCCAGGCTTACGTTACGCGAGTTCACTTCAATAAGTTATTTCTGTTTAAAGGAAAACCCCAGTTGGATATTTTCGAGGAATTCAATAAACCAACTCTTAAACATATGGAACAAAGGTCTCAGAACAGCTAATGCAACCTTAAAAGAGCACAGACGGGGAGCTTGCCTCCAGGGTGGGGTGCGGGGAGAAGCCCGTACATGGAGACAGAAGATGCCGTCCCCCACCCCGCCCACCTGCCATGCCAGCAGGAGTGAAGCCAAGGCTCTTGGGGTCTTCCCAATGCTGTGCAAATCCGGGTCTGAAGTTGCAGCTACTGAATCTGGGGCTGGGATGGAACCTCATGCAAGGCCCAGACAGGAGCGGAGGCTGCCCCGTGGAGAAGAGGCACTGGGACAGCAGTGGGGATGGGCGGATCTGTGTGGACTGGCTCCCAGTGGTGGGTGCACAGAGACGGGGCAGCCGGTGGCTGGCAGGGCCCCTTCTGGAAGGAAGCAGCTGCACCATCACGACGGAGCCCAGCAAAGGAAAACAGGTTTCCCTGGACGTGGGCCAAGGCGGCGACTTTCCCAGGGCACCTGGCAAAGCGTGCTAGCCCTGGGAACCTCACAGCCCTGCAGACGCCAAGGGGCTCTGACTCCAGGCTCTAGAAGGGAAGGAGCGTGTCTCTGTGTGGCCATCTGCTGGATGCCCCTGCCAGCACCTCCCCGTACCCTGCAACTGCGGTCCGCACCCTTCCCCGTGTGTACTATCCATAGAGCCACAAGGCTCAGGGCGGGGCAGCCTGCATCCATCAGGGCTGGTTACTGTGGGGCGGGGCTGTGACACGGGAGTGGAAAACAGATGGGCAGTGAGCAGGGAGACCTTGTCAGGCGCAGGCTTGGAGATGCTACAAAAGGAGACGGGCTCCACCCACAGATGAACGGATGAGCAAAATATGGTCCATCCACACAATGGAATGTTACTCAGCCTTAAAAAGCAAGGGAGAGGCTTCCCTGGAAGAGCACAGTGGTTAAGAATCCGCCTGCCATTGCAGGGGACACAGGTTCAAGTCCTGGTCCGGGAAGATCCCACATGCCGCAGAGCAACTAAGCCCGCATGCCACAACTACTGAGCCTGCACTCTAGAGCCCGTGAGCCACAACTACCGAGCCCGCGTGCAACAACTACCGAAGCCCGCGTGCCTAGAGCCCGTGCTCCGCAACAAGAGAAGCCACTGCAATGAGAAGCCTGCGCACCGCAACGAAGAGCAGCCCCCGCTCGCCTCAACTAGAGAAAGCCCGCGCACAGCAACCAAGACCCAGTGCAGCCAAAAATAAATAAATAATTTTTTTTTTTAAGAAAAGGAAGGGAATCCCGACCCAAGCTACAACGTGGATGAACCTTGAGGACGTTACGCTCAGTGAAATAAGCGAGACGTAGAAGGACACATGCTGTCTGATTCCACTCACATGAGGTCCCTGGAGGAGTCACATCCACAGAGACAGAAAGTAGACGGTGGGGATGAGGGGTTGCGGGAGGGGAGGGGAGTGCGTGTTTAACGGGGACAGATGTTTGGGAAGATGGAAAGTTCTAGAGATGGATGGGGGTGATGGTTCAAAACAATGTGAATTACTTAAGGCCACTGAACTTTACACTTAGAAATGGCTGAGGTGGAAACTCCTACACGGTGTACATTTAACCACAATAAAAGAACGACGACAGCTAATGGCTACCATCTCTCCAGTGACGCCCTGCCGGTCTCCCATTCTGACCGTGTGCCCGTCCCGGCCCTTCTAACTTCTTCCCAATTTCCCAAGCCTCTCCTGGTCACACACCCACACTCCACATCCCTGCTGGCCAGGCCTGAGCTCTCTGGCCAAATGGACTGTGGGCACTAAAGGAGAAACTGCTTCTTTCTTCTCTGTCGGTAGAGCCCCCCTGCTCTGCTGGCCCTGGGACAGGCCCCAGCCAGCTCCCGCCCCACCCCGGGGCCTGCCCACTCCCCACTGAGGCATAGCTCCCCTGGAGGCTCCCTGATCGCCTATCTGGCCTCTGCCGGCTCCACCCTTGGGAGGCCCCACCCGGATGAGCTCCAGGTGTGACTTCTCATCACACAGGGGACTGGGGGGGGGGGGCACAGCACACCAGGCGACGACAGTGGGGGTCTGCCCCGACCCCCACGTGACCCCAGGCGAGGCCTCTACCTTCCAGGGGCTTCGCTGCCCACCTCTGTCCAATCACGAACATTAAAGAAGCAACGTGAGGACAGCAGCTGGACCAGGCCCGGAACCTCGCAAGGTCAGTTTTAGCCGTGGTGGTCATTTGTGAGTCCAGACCACCACAGTAAGAAGCAGACTGCCTGACTGAGGCCACTCACCGCCCGCTTAACAACTGCTCAAAACTGGCCCCAAAGACAACACGTTTGATCCCAGCTCATCCCAAGTCCCCAGGGCCGCTGGCGAGGCCCCGAGCAGAACCTAGAACTGTCCCCAGCAGAGGCTGTGCAGTCACCACGGAGCCTCTGCAAGGCAGGGACAAGGACACCTCCATTTCTCATCCTGCGGACGCCCCAGAGAGCAGAACCGAGTCACCACAAACAAAAGAGGTGAGGAAACGCTGGCCCCTCAGTGTCCCCAGGCTCTGCTCGGCTGCCCTGACCGTAGGGGCACTTGGTCTAGACGTCTGCGTGGCTACCAGGACTTGACTGGGGCGGGGGGCGTCCCTGGATCTCGTGATCAGAGGCCAGGACTTGACGGGGGGGGGGGGGGTCCCTGGATCTCGTGATCAGAGGCCAGGGACGCTGCTCATCGCCTACAGCACCCAGGACAACGTGCAGCAGAGGACCGGCCAGGCGTGCCCAGGCCACGGAGCGCGTGACGGCCTCACCTCTGTGCTCACGGGCGACCCTTCGCACTCCTTCCCGGAACTCCGACAACACCTGCAGGTACGGCATGACTGTGGGCTCGAGCTGCGGAGAGAACATTTTGGGTCACCGAGAGACCAGCCACCCTCGTGTTTATGAAGGACAGAGCCCAGTACACGCGCCGCAGGGCAGGGCTGCCAAGGGATGTGTGGCTGGCGGACGCCCCGTTGTGACCCGCGTCCAGGGTGCGCGTGCCCATCCCCGACGGTCGGCTCATGGACGCGGGGGCGTCCCGCGTGGCGGCGCGGACAGCGCAGTAAGAGGGTCCCCTTCCCCCCAGCGAACTGAGTCCTGTGGGCGGCCCCGCCCAGTGGCTCACAGGAGCCCCTTTGTCTCAGGCAGACACACGGCTGTTAAAAGCCTGTCCGTAAGGTGACACTGAGCGTTCCCAGGAGGGATGGTTTTCTGAGGCTGAGGCCGTTCCTCCTGGGCTGGGGCCTCCCTTCCACCGGGGCCGGCACCACAGAGCCCGGCCGTGCTTGGGTCCGACCTGAGGCCACACACACGCCTGTGTACCATCAACTGTCTGCTGTCCACACGCACCCTCACGTCTGCGCAACACTGAACCACCCGCGGTGACTCAGAGGTGGCTGTGGGACGCAAAGCCCACTGGAAAAGGAAAACCCAAGAGGGCGAATCCAAACCAGAGAAATAACAATTTTATGGAAAACCTTTTTTGTTACATCTACCATATGTTTCCACTAGACTTTTGAGCAAGGTCTCTGTGCCTCCATGCAGCTCAGTGACCAAAATCCCAACGATCAAACGCGAAGGCTAGTGAGGCCACCAAGCCCTCAGCATGGCCTACGCCACTTCAGGCCCAATCCTGCGCGTGGGCTGAGGACACGCCTACCCACCCACACACGTACACGGCCGCAGGGGAGCCTCGCTGCGGGGAGCTGGCCAGCGTGCCTGAGGTCGGCCTGGAGGAGGCTCTCAGGCCAGCACCCCCAGCGGCCCAGCTGACTACACTACCCGAGCACACGCTGTAGACCGCTCAGTACTAGGTGGTTCAAGACCTGCTCCTAAAACCATGCAGGTCTGGAAGTAAAGCTGTGAACTCTGGAAGGCGTGACTTCGGGCCTGTCCTTCGGCCCAGCCGGCACCCACCACGCTTCTCGGGGCCGCTTATTCCAGGCAGCTGTCTTCAAAGGGCGGGTGGAGGAGGCTTGGGGGCCAGAAACACCAGGCATCCGATGCTGGACGCATTTTTTTATTTTTTATTTTTGTGGTACGCGGGCCTCTCACCGCCGCGGAGGCTCAGCGGCCATGGCTCACGGGCCCAGCCGCTCCATGGCACGTGGGATCCTCCCGGACCGGGGCACGAACTCACGCCCCCTGCATCGGCAGGCGGACCCTCAACCACTGCGCCACCAGGGAAGCCCTGGACACATTTTTTTAAAGCTCAAAGGCAGACTTCCTTCCAAGGTGTTTCTAGTGTGTGTTTCTCCTTAAAGATAATACACGTCTAGTATTGCTTACACGAGAAAACAAAGCAACCGCGTGGGTTTCCTTCCTAAAAAGCACCAAGTACCACAGCAACAGCCACTTCCAAGGCTGACAAGGGGCCCGGGGACAGGGCCTGGCATTCTGTTTCCTGGGGTGCAAGTCAGCTCCTGGGGAAACACCCCTAAACTCGGTCCGCAGGAGAGAGTGCCTCACGCCGTCCCTCACTGGGTAACAGGACTTTTAAAAGGTTTTGCCTTTTTACTTTGGACTTGACCCGTTACGTGTAAGCATTTATATGTGCCTTCTAACCAAATACTTAAAGAGCGTTCCCAACCAGGGGAGGAGGGCGAGCGCGTCTCAGATGAACCTGAGTGTGTGCCTGTCCTACGTGATGTTCCTCCCGCAGCAGAAACCGTGTGTCTGCCCGGATGCCAAGTTCGAAGGAGACACCAACAACCACTGGCGAGTTTTCTCACTTGCACGGACCCACTGGACAGACGGTTCCACATGTTGTCTGCCTACAGGTGCACGCACACCGGGAAACGCGGGCGTGGGACTCCTGACGCCCTATGGCCGTAGTGATGCCCATGGCCGTGGTGATGCCCCGTGGCCATGGCTCAGATGCTTGGGGGCTGAGGACCGTCCCGTGCAGCCTGGTCTCCTGGGACCGAGCTCACAAAGACAACACAGCTGGTGGTGAGGACGGGGCCGGACTGTGCCCAACTCCCCAGCCAGGCCGAGACTCGGCCACGTGGGGCTCAGGCTGGAGGGCCCAGGGCAGGATGGGACCTACTGCTGGTCTCAGACGCCCCAGGAGGGAACACCAAATTGGCGGGGCGGCCAGCAGGGAGCTTCTCTGGGCCCAGGTGTGCTTTACTCACATTGAGGCTGGTTCCAGGTCCTCCAACGGGGAAACCCAGGGAGCTTTCCTCTTCTATGGCCCCGAAGATCTAGGGAAGAAAGAGGCATGCAGGACAGGAGGTCCTGAGAGGTGGGAGGCGGGGACCGGTCCTCGAAACACGCCGCTGCGCCCGGGAGGGGTGGGCCGAAGTGCCGACGGCCTTGCCGGGTGGGGAGAGATGGAAACCTAGGCCTGGGTGCCCCCGCACCTGACCCAGGACGAGGTCTGGCTCCCGCTGCCCTTCCGGCCCCTTCCCAGCCTGAGCCGCTGGACCACGGAGCCCCCTGAAGAGGACCCGGGACTTGTCAGCACGAAGTGGGCGTGGTGAACAACATGTTAGGGCCACTTGTGGGAGAAAGCCCTTGTGCTTTTCAAACCTCCAGACAGGAGGGGAAAAGCAGAGGCAAAGAGGCGAAATTGCTCGGAGCGAGGGCAGGGGCGGGGGGCTTGCTGTCTCGGGCACAGGCGTGGCAGGACCTGAGAACAGAGCGGCGCGGCTCCCGTGACCCGCGGGCCCGCACTGGCACGGTCGCAGGGGGCTCACCTTCAGCATGTGCGTGAGGTACCGGGCGATGCTCTCCAGCAGGGCGCGGTTGGGCCTCCTCCTGGCGGCCTTCCGCGCTGCCATGTAGTGGTTGCACTGGCCGACCAGAGCCCGCATCTCCTCCAGGACGGTGCGCGTGTCGACGTTATCACAGAGCGCCTCGTGAACCGCGGCCTTCTTATCGTAAAAGCTGAACGGGAAGCGGAAGAGGAAGGCGGGGGGCGTCAGACAGACGACCTTCCCGGGGCGGCCCGTTCTGAGCGTGGCTCTGCATGAGTGGGAGGGACGGCGCCACCGGCCTCCCCACTGGCGGGCGTGCTGCGGGGACCGCCCGTGGGCCCCAGAGAGAAGGCACCGCCTCACCTCTTGTTCAGCTCTGTTTCCTTGTCTTCCCACTTCTCAAACTGACCGGCTACCTCAACGGGGGCTCGGAGGAGGTCTTTCACGTTTAAGAAAAACTCCTAAAATATGAAAATTCCTTTTAAGAGCATTCAGACCTTTCCATCCCAGAGAAACCTGGGAAAGAGCCGTTCCACTGACGTGCCTCCACTGCAGGTGCGATCTGAACGTCACACAGGTGTAGGAAGGGAAGGGAAAGGTTTTCCTTTGAGACAAGTGGGTCCGGTTTCAGCCTTGGGGGCCCGAGGTGCAGCCAGCGGGTGGGGCTGAATGAGAGGCGCCACACGTGACATGAGGTGTCTTGGGAAGGTGGCGCGGAGCTGGCCTCCCCCCAGAGCTTACTGGCCTTGGCCACGTCCCGTTCCCTCTGGGGGACATGGGGAGCAGGCACCACCTCCCCCTGTGCTGGCCCAGAGCTGCCTCGGGGAGGCGGGACCCACGTTCAGGAGCTTCTCGTACTGCAGCGCCGACTCCATGGTGTTGGCCGAGTAGTCCAGCGCGTCCTTCCACGAGTGCATGAGGAAGGCCAGGCGCAGCTGCCGGGCTGGGGAGAGAGGCGCGGGGCTCCTTACCTCCCGAGCAGCTCCAACCCCGTGCCTCCGACAACAGAAGCGTCCAGGCCTCTTTACCTGAGTGCTTCTTCAGCGCGTCTTTAATGGTGATGAAGTTCTTGAGCGACTTGGACATCTTGCAGCCGGCGATGGTCAGGTGGCCCGTGTGCAGGAAGTACCTGACCCAGCAGTCGTTTTCAAAGTAGGCCTGAGTGGACAGGGCGGGCGCGGGGGTCAGGGGCGCCGCTGCGGGCCGGACAGAGGGTGCCGGCCGCTTTCTGGGCACCTGACGTGCAGAAGGAGTGCCGCCCAGCGTGAATCCGGGCCTGTGCTGCCAAGGGCCAGGCTGCTCACACGCGAGCCGGACTAAGTAATGCGGTTCAGAGCCCCTGACGTGGAGGCCAGGCTCTGCTGGGGAGCACCTCGCCGCCCCCCGTGTGTGCCCAGGACGGCGACCTCGCCCCTACCTCCGACTGCGCCAGCTCATTGTCATGGTGGGGGAAGCGGAGGTCGAAGCCCCCTCCGTGAAGGTCCATTGAGGCTCCGAGGAGGGTGCCTGCCATGGCCGAGCACTCGATGTGCCACCCTGGACGCCCCTAGGGACCCAAACGTGGTGAGCGCCCTGACCGCCCCCTGTGACGGGCCGGGACTCGCTCCCCTGTCCACGACCCTCAGAACCCCTGAGCTCTATGGGAACGAGGGTCAAGTCCCGCACACGAAAAGATGAATAGGGCCCCAGGCTATAAAAGTCACAACAAGCTTCGCGAAGGCCAAGGAATCCCCTGCTCCCGACACCTCTTCCCACAGCTCTGGGCCACCAGGACTGTTGTCACAGGGGATGTCGGAGGGCAGATCCGTCCCCTAGTACCCCGGGTCAGAGACTGTTGGGACAGAGGGGCCTCCGAGGCGGTCCAGTGCCACCACCCCAGCCATGCAGCGGAAGACGCAAGTCCCAGGAAGGCAGGGAGGTGACGGCCCCAGGCCCGGGGCCCCATCCCGGGTGCTCACCTTTCCCCAGGGGCACGGCCAGGATGGCTCCCCGGGCTTGGAGGCCTTCCAGAGGGCGAAGTCGCTGGGGGACCGCTTCTCACTCAGGCGCTCGGCCGAGACGCTCAGGTCGCCTGCGGACACAGGGGAGGCGGGTACTCGGTGGATGGAATTGTCTCGGTCCAGGGACGATTCAGGTACTTGTTTGTTAACTTGGTCAAGCACTCCTTCAAGTTGACTGTGACCAGATTTTGGAGTTGCCCAGGGTCTAGATACAAAGCCCTAACCGCAAGCTCAGAAGCCACGGCCTCACAAGCCGGCGTCCAAGGGCAACGACCCCCGGACCTGGACCCGCACCCCCTGCCTCCACTGCCGCCCCACCTCGGCCCCTCATCTAGGACAACGACAGCGCCTGGCCCAGAGTGTGAGGCGCTGTTCTCATGGGCTGCCTCGGGGACCCGGGCTCGTGTAGGCGGGATCTTGTACTAACACCCGGCGGGCCTCTTGGCTGTGGTTCTGCGGGGCGTAAGGGCGACCAGGCTGCTGTGTGTGGCGCCCCCAGCCTGAAGGTGGCAAATCAGGACACTCACTGGGCCTCCCGTGTCCACACAGGGCAGCTGCGGGAAGGAGGCTATGGACCAGTCTAACCCCAAGAGAGAACGGGAGCACTGCTCCCTGGGCCAAGTTCCGTTTCCTTGGAAGACCCTCCCCCTCTCCCTCCCCACACCCGCTGAACGCAGATGAAGCCAGCCAGAACGGGAATCCACGGCCCCATGGGAGACGTCCCCAGACCACGTGCTGGGGCCACGGACACATCAGCCTCCTGAAAATGAACACCCACCGGTCAGCCCAGCCTGCAGGCGGAGCACCCCTGAGTGGGGAGGCAGTGGGGGCTGCCTGCTGGGTGATGGGGCCTGCCCGGCACTCAGGCCCTAGAGGGCCTCACCAGGGCGCCTGCTGGAAAACTCCAGAACAGGAATGACTCTCATTCTCCTGTCCAGGCTGCAAACGCAGGATGACTGGAAAAAGGCCACTTTGGGAGGGACACAGTGCAGACGGAGGCACTGCTGAACACAAAGACTGTGACGGTGAAACAGGCACTAAACGCAGAATACTTGGAAAACACGACCAAGAACCAGGAAAAGGTGCCACAGTTGGAAACGCAGGGGTAACTGCTATTAACGTGTTGTTGGAAACGCAGGGGTAACTGCTATTAACATGTCGCTGGAAACGCAGGGGTAACTGCTATTAACATGTCGTTGGAAACGTAGGGGTAACTGCTATTAACATGTTGTTGGAAACGCAGGGGTAACTGCTATTAACATATTGTTGGAAACGCAGGGGTAACTGCTATTAACATGTTGGTGTCTTGACTTGTGGGTTTGTGGGTTTTTTAATCCATGTAAGAAGGACATAGACACATCCAGCAAACAGGACAAGCGCCACCCTGGTCTTGTATCTATTTTCTCACCGTGCGCATTTTAACCACGGCGTCGGCGACGGCAGTTACTCAAAAACGTAATCTGACCTGGCGCCGGGACCTTCTCTTTTACCCACCCTTTACCGGACAGATAACATACCTTGAGGTTTTAAACTTTCCTTTATAATGAACATGGTTACTCATGAATGTATCTAACTTTAAAAATTAACTTTGAAAAATTCTGTAACAGAGGATCTGCTGTCTCACGCGCCCTTCCCCCACTCTGCATTTGACACAAACGTCACTACCTGGTAACGCTTGCTATTCGCTCCTGATTCTGTACGGAAGAGAGAGAAACCACACGATCCCTCTGCTTCCCCCTCCTGGTGTCATTCCTGGTCCCCTGACGTGGCTCTCCCACCGTGAGCGCCATGATCTGAGTGGTCCGCCTCCGATGCCTGGCCCTGCTCAGCGGCCGTGAGTCTGAAACGCCGTTGGGTCGGATGGTCACGCTGTTAAACTAACTTGGTCTGTCTTTCCTCCATGTTTCTGTGTCGTCCTGTTTTAAGTTCTGATATCTCTTTAGAACAGAGCCCTTGAGGTAAAGATACTTGATCAAAACGTACGAACATCGTACAGTCGTACGTTGACGGCACTGTAACCTGTACAGTAAAGCTGCCTTTGTGTCCTGACAAAGACTCCTGAGTCTGTCTAAGGCCTGAAGTCTGGGGAGACTCTGTCAGCAACCCAGGACTTCAATTCAGTCCTGGACAGTGTCTCCTCCAACCGCAGCCCGGAAATTCACAAGTCTGCCTGGCCGCTGACCATGCAACGGCACACAGACAGAAGTTTACCACCCACTAGACCCTCTAACTGTTTAACATCTTCTACAACGTCTAACACATCACATCTTTACAGCTACCTGTCCATTTATCGTCACGTTTGAAAATCTGGACATAAGGCTGGTATATACTTATGCTCTAAGTATACCTAATGGTGAAATTTAAATAAGGACAGGGACTTTGCCAGTGGTGCAGTGGTTAAGAATCCGCCTGCCAATGCAAGGGACACGGGTTCAAGCCCTGGTCCAGGAAGATCCCACATGCCACAGAGCAACTAAGCCGTGTGCCACAACTACTGAGCCTGCGCGCCACAACCACTGAAGCGCACGTGCCTAGAGCCCGTGCTCCGCAATAAGAGAAGCTACCACACCGCAACAAAAAATAGTCCCCGCTCGCTGCAACTAGAGAAAGCCCATGCACAGCAACAAAGACCCAACACAGTCAAAGGAAAAAAAAAAAAAATCAAGAACATCCTTTATCTTAAAAAATAAATAAATAAATGTAAGGACGATAAAAGCGAAAACTGTACCCGTTGTTAAAAAAAGATGAACATATTTATGGCCAAAGTGCATCCCAGAAACGCTGGTGGATAAACAGCGTGTGTCCGGCAGTGTGAGAGCAGCCCCTGCACTGCTCCCCCCGATACACTGAGGGGGTGAAAGTAAACACTTATGAAAGACAAGTAGAATCCCGCCTGGCCCAGAAAAGGCACTGTGTCTCTGTTTAAAATGTTTGGATCAAGATGGGCCCGGGGCTGTCGTTATACATGGTCACACTCTCTGCGCTGAGAACACAGCCGCTCTGAGCTGCTGCCCGAGCTTCTCACGGCAGGACCGCTCTGCCCACAGCCACAGTCTGGACTTCCAGATAAGGACCGGGCTTCAGTTCCCACCTTCCTTTTCCCACAGCCGCCTTACAAGTAACAGCTGCTCGCTCCTGCCCTGGGATGGGGGACTGCCCTTCCCCGCCCAGTGCCCACCTCCGGCCCTCCTCGTGGGATCGGTAAGTAAACAATCTTATGTCTACTCCCTCACTGGGGGTACTGCACGCCTTCGACCACAGCACCCTGGGGTTTTCCCTCCGCAGGCTCCCCGCTGCCCCGCGTGGTTCAGCACCATCTGATTCCTCTCCACACACCCGCCTGGGTGCCAGCACAGCCCACCCGACCCTTGGGTGCTCTGGGTGCCGAGAGACCAGCAAAGTCCAGCCCCATGGCCGAGGCCCCGAGGTCTGTGCGCTTCTCAGGATGGCACTGCAGCCACTCACTCTTCTGTTTCTTAAGTAATAATACATTTCAGGGGCTTAGTGCACAGAGCTCCTAAAATCCCTTTAGGTGAAAAACCACGGTCCCCGTGAACCTAGGTGACCCCAATCGTGTGCGGTGAGGCCGCGGCTCCACTTGGCTCTGACTTCGAGCCAGTCCGTTTACCTTCCCCCTCCTGCAGGGCTTTCTGATCCCCGATGGCCTCAGGCACCAGCTTCCCGTAGCAGTGTCCCTCACTGTTGGCAAACTTCACCGTGTCGAAGTAGACGGACCCGTTTGAAACGTAGCTGGAAAACAAAGCCATTGGGGGAGGTGTGATGAGGTGCTCGCGGGCCGGCCTGGACACCCGCAGGCCGTTGGGGCATCTGCTCCAGCTGCGAGCCTCCCCTGGTTCAGCCACGCTGCAGGGAGGCCAGGAGGCTGTTCAAACAGAGCTGCTGTGTGGGCTGAGAGGGGCCGGGACAGGGACTCCACACTCCCTGACAGCCTGTCCCTCCGCCCTGCCACCCTTGCCTCTGTCTACACGCCACCACCTGCCCGGCCCGCCAGGCTCTGCCTCCTGGGAGCGTGGGGATTACTCCAGGCCGGGATGCCCTGTCTCCTCTCGCCGTGGCCCTGCCCATGGCACTCAGCTTGGCAGTCTGGAGTTGCCCCACGGTGACCGTGTGACGGGTGGGGGTGGCGGTGGTGGTGGTGCAAGGAGCTGTTGTCCTTTCGCGAGAACCCACGGCCTGGTCCCTGTGCCAGGCACTTCCTGCTGCTCCGAGGCCCCCGCCCGCCTCACCTCGCGCGAGGGGGATCGCAGCTCTCCTGGGCAGGGGCCTGGCATCAGCACACAGACGCCTGGCCCCCGTCCACAGGTCCACTTGCTGCCTGTTTCTGAAAACGCTGACTCAGAGACATGAAAAGCGTTCCACGCAGGCAGATGGTGAGGACGGTAACCTGGGGCCAAATCCCGGCCCGGCAAGGATAAAGGCCACCCGCCTTGGGACCCGACACGAGGAAGACTCTGAGTGCCCACACCATGTGGCCTGCGTCTCCAAAGACCTGGAGGTGCCCAAGGGCAACAGCGTGCTGCTTTGGGGACCTGGTGACACGTGGCCTTAACTGGGAGCTTCCCAGTGGACCAGGGGCCAGGTGGTACCTACAGCATCTCTCACTGTGGTCCCCAGGGCAGGCCACGGGCCTGGGCAGAGGTGCTGGCCAGCCCCTTGGGTGGGGGTGGCCCCAGGTCCTGGACTAGGCCCCAAGCTGTATGACCAAACCTGCCGGGGGCTTCGGGGACAGGCTGGGTGTAGCCAGCACCACCCTCCTGCTTCCCCTTCCTGCCTGGAACAAAGACATGGCCTCCGTACAGCTAAATGGTTGTTTGAACAGCCGCCACTACCAAGGAAAACCCAGAGGGTTCTCTTACAAAACAACTGGGAAGCTGAGAACCAAGTGGCACAGAGGAAAGCGGCTGCCGATAAGGCGAAGTTACGGCTCGACCGTGTACTCCAGATCCACACGCTGGAGCCCCGACCCCTAGCACCTCGGAGTCTGACTGTATTTGGAAAGAGGGTCTTTACAGAGGGAATCAAGTTAAAATGAGGCCATTAGGGTGGGGTCCTAATCCAGTACGACCAGTGTCCTTGTAAGAGGAGATCGGGACACAAAGGGAGGGACGAGCGGCACGTGTGCACGCACAAGGAACCCCTGGAGCTGTGCACTGACTCTTCTGTGGTTTGAGCTGCCTGCCGCGTGGTGCTTTGTAACGGCAGCCCCAGGGCACCACCACCCTGAGCAGCAAAACCGTGCACTTCCCTGCTCCTGGTCTGGAGCCAGAGGAGAGCCGCTCTCCCTGGAAAACCTGCCTGGAATGCTGCGCAGCCTCGAGCAGGGCCCCAAGCTCACCCATAACCGTTGTCCACAATCTTCCGGACGAAGTCCACGATCTCCGGCACGTACTCACTAACGCGGGTTAGGACATCTGGAGGGAGGACCTGGGGACAATGACAAAGTCCTGGTTCAAGGGCAGCTGCAGCACTGCTGGCGCCCAGAAGCCCCCCCACCCCCCACCCCACGCTCATCTTTAACTGAATTTACTTGCAAAGCGAAATGGTCTGGATCCCACAAGGCCTTCTGGTCATGGGGGATCCTCAGCCCAAGACAGCAAGGTCAAGACAGTCGGCGACACTTACGTTCAGGGCTTCCATGTCTTTGTGGAACTCCGCTTCCCAGAACTTGGGCAGTTTGGAGAAAATAGAATTGTCGCTCACTTCACTGCCATGCATGGAATCCAGCCAGTCAGAAAGCAGGTCCTTTGCTTCTTCCAACAGCACCTGAAGAAACAGAAACAACATCCGCACACACATGCAAGTTTCACGGGCTCACAGCTGGCGCTCAAGGCCTCGGATGCACAAGACGCGGCCCCAACCCAAGAGACCACGGCGCTCCCACGGATGGCCTGGCGGTTAAGAGGCCGGAGTGTTCAGAGCGCTGACCATGTCGCCGGAGGGTCAGGGTGGGCTTGGGGAGGCCCAGCGGTGCAGTGGGGCTGCCTGGGGCAGGGTGGGAGAGCACGTGGTGTGGTCACCCACAGCCTGGACACTTGAGTGCTCGAGGGGAGGGTCACAACAGGAGGTGGAGCCACGTCCCGGTGGGAAGTCTCCAAGGCCACGCCGCCCTGCCGGCCACATGCCATTGACCAAAGGCCCCGTGTTACGACCACAATGGTGCAGCATGGGTACGAGTCGCGTCCTGTCGCCGCAGCACTCACGCCACACACAGGAACGTCCATCTGAGACATGATGTGACAGCATCAGGGCTGCATCCGGAGTCCTGAAGGCCAGGGGGACCTGGAGCTCTGCCCTGGAGGAATCTAGTGTTTTTGCTCATTAACCGGAGCCGACAGACGTGGGGACAGGCAGGCGGTCTGCGGTCCACTGGCAGGGGCGGAGGCAAAGACCAAAGGGTGGAGGGAGAGGGCGCAGGGAAGCTGGGCGTGGAAGCGGTGGCAAGGGCACCCCCTGTGGCAGCTCCCAGACAGAAAAGAGCCGCTCATGTGCTGCTGCGCTGGAGGGCAGCAGGGGAAACCTCCCAGGACCAGGCTGGTGCCCAGGGGCAGAGCCTGCCCCATGCGGAGGGGCAGAAAGCCCACCCCCGCCCTCGGGATCGACACAGATCATGACCAAGCAGAAGAATGAGATTCCAATCAAACAAACTTCTAGATAATTCTTGGGTTTCCAAACAAGAAATCAAAATGGAAATAAAAAACCGTTCAGAAGCAAATAATGTCAAAATACGTGGAAGTAGCAAAAATGATACTTAGAGGAAAATTTATGGCCTCAAATGCTTAAACCAGAAAATGAGCTGAAGTCCTGAGCTGCCACTCTGTCCCGACAATGAGCGAAAGGCTGCGCAACTACTCCTCTTAGATCCGTAAGGGAAAGAGGCCCAGGGCAAACTGCCGCCCCTTGAACTGCAGAGAGACGGGCAGGTACAGAGAACCGCCATTTACCGGGGCAGAAAGCGCCTGGGACCCAGTGACGGGCAGGGAGGCCGGAACTGAAACTGACCACCCGCTGGAGGCTCGGTGTGGACGAGTCTGAGATCAAAACTCCAGGGCGACCCAGCCTTTGGGGCCCCACAAATTTGTGAGATTTACCTCTAGGAGCCCTGACGGTTACTCACAGTAAATATTGGAGAAAAATGCCCTCATGCTTCCAGCAGGGGGAGAGGAAAAGGAACTGCTCGGAAATATGACAAAGCCTTCTGTTCCTAACAAGACTGCCCTCAGGAGGAACCAGCTAACCAGAACCTAAGCTGCTGGGGTTCCAGCAGAGCCTAACTGACCTGCGGGAGGAAAACGTCCACCTCCAGGCCCCCCCACACATCCTGCCCCATCTAAGGGGGAGGGGAGGAGAAACCCAGAAACACCTGTGATGTTCACAGGCCACGGGCATAGGCCACTGAAGGACTGAGACCCATCACAAGACCACAGAGGGCGTCCTCCCCACACCTCGCCACACGACTACTGACAGTAGCTCCTTCTACCCAGTACATCATGTACTAACTATCATGGAAACAAATCACAAGGCGAACCGAAAGCCAAAACGCCACTTTTCTGAAAAGACAGAGAGAGCAACAGGACCAGACGTGGCAGGGATCCTGGGATTATCAGACCAGGAATTTAAAACAACCGTGACCGATATGCTAAGGGCCCTAGTGGACAAAGCAGGCAGCGCGAAGCCAGGTGGGGAATGTAAGCAGAGAGACGGAAATCCCAAGACAGGACCAAACAGAGATGCTAGAGGGGAAAGCACCGAAATGGAAATGAAGAACGTCTCTGATGGGCCTGACTGGACGTGACTGAGGAAGGAGTCTCAGCCTGAGGAGATCTCAGTAGCAGCCTCCAAAACTGAAAACAAAAAAGCCTTTGTTCTCAGAGGCTGACAAAAAATAACAGAACAGAGATCTCACTTGTCGCGACTAAGACTCGGCGCAGCCAAAATAAATACATAAATAAATAAGTAAATAAATATTAAGGGTTTCCCTGGTGGCGCAGCGGTTGAGAGTCTGCCTGCCGATGCAGGGGACACGGGTTCGTGCCCTGGTCCGGGAAGATCCCACATGCCACGGAGCAACTAAGCCCATGTGCCACAACTACTGAGCCTGCGCTCTAGAGCCTGCGAGCCACAACTACTGAGCCCGCGCACCACAACTACTGAAGCCCTCGCACCTAGAGCCCACGCACTGCAACGAAGAGTAGCCCCCACTCGCTGCAACTAGAGAAAGCCTGTGCGCAGCAACAAAGATCCAATGCAGCCAATAAACTTATTTTAATAAAGTCACAACCACAATACCCATTTAAAAAAAAAATATAGAAACAGATATATACTGAACCATAAAATCTGAAAAAGAGATATATAACTGAATCACTTTGCTGTACACCTAGAGCTAACACAATACTGTAAATTAACTTTACATTAATTGAAAAAAAAATGGTTAGGGACTTCCCCGGTAGTGCAGTGGTTAAGAATCCGCCTGACAATGCAGGGGATGTGGGTTCGATCCCTGGTCTGAGATCCCACATGCCGCAGAGCAACTAAGCCTGTGAGCCACAACTACTGAGTCTGCACTCTACAGCCTGCGAGCCACAACTACTGAGCCCACGCGCCACAAATACTGAAGCCCGCACACTCTAGGGCCCACGTGCTACAACTACTGAGCCTGCGCACCTAGAGCCCGTGCTCCGCAACAAGAGAAGCCACTGCAGTGACAAGCCCATGCACCACAGCCAAGAGTAGCCCCTACTAGCCGCAACTAGAGAAAGCCTGCGTGCAGCAACGAAGACCCAACACAGCCGAAAAAATAGTGATAATAAAAATAAAGATAAATAAAGTTAGCTTGTTGCCAATTAAAAAAAATTCAAAGTAAGCAGAAGAAAGGATATAATAAAAAATTAAAGCAGAGGGACTTCCCTGGTGGTCCAGTGGTTAAGACTCCGCGCTCCCAATGCAGGGCGCCCGTGTTCGATCCCTGGTCAGGGAACTAGATCTCACGTGCGTGTAGCAACCGAGAGTTCGCGTGCACAACTAAGGAGCTCACGTGCTGCACCTAAGGAGCCAGCGAGCTGCAAGCAAGGAGCCCTTGAACTGTAACTAAGGAGACTGCCTGCTGCAACTAAGACCCAGTGCAACCACACAAATAAATAAATATTTTTTTAAATTAAAGCAGAAACCAGGAAATTAATAGAGAAAATCAACAAAACCAAATGCTGGTTCTTTGAAAAGATCAATAAAATTGATGAGCCAAGTTAAGAAAAAAAGAGGACATAAATACTAATATCAGAAATGAAAGAGGGGACATCACTACAGATCCCATGGAAGTTAAAAGAAGAATAAAGGAATATTATAAACAACTCTGTGCCCCTAAATTTGATAACCTGAAGGGACCAATTCTTTGAAAGACATAATCTGCCAAAACTCACACGACATGATACAGAGAATCTGAATAAGCCTGTATCTATTAAAGAGATTAAATCAATAACTAATAACTTTCCAAAATAGAAAGCACCAGGCCCAGATGGATTCACTGCTGAATTCTGCCAACACTTAAGGAAAAAATTATACTAATTTTCTACAGTTTCTTTCAGAGGACAGAAGCAAAGAGAATACTTCCCAGTTCCTTCTAGGAGGACAGCATTACCCTAATACCTAAACCAGACAAAGACATTCCAAGAAAACCACAGATCAATATCTCTCGTGGGGGCTTCCCTGGTGGCGCAGTGGTTGAGAGTCTGCCTGCCGACGCAGGGGACACGGGTTCGTACCCTGGTCCGGGAAGACCCCACATGCCGCGGAGCGGCTGGGCCTGTGAGCCATGGCCGCTGAGCCTGCGCGTCCGGAGCCTGTGCTCCACAACGGGAGAGGCCACAACAGTGAGAGGCCCGCGTGCCGCAAAAAAAAAAAAAAATCTCTCATGAATACAGATGCAAAATCCTTAACAAAATATTACCACATTGAATCCACAAAAGTATAAAAAGAATTATATACCACAACCAAGTGAAATTTATCACAAGTATGTAAGGCTGGTTCTACTTTATAAAATCAATTAATGTAAATCATCACATCAACAGACTAAAAAAGAAAAACCACAAGGTCATACCAATAGATGCAGAAAAAGCATCTGACAAAATGCAACACCCATTCATGATAAAAACTCTCAGTAAATGAATAGAGGGGAACTTCCTCAACTTAATAAACAAACAAACAAAAAACAGCTACAAAAAGCCTACAGCTAACATCAGACTTAGCGGTGAGAAATCGGAAGCTTTTCCACTAAGATGAGGTATAATGCGAGAATGTCCCCTCTCACCAGTCCTTTCCAACATCATACTGGAAGTCCTTGCTAATGCAATAAGGCAAGAAAAGGGCAAAAAAAGAGGATTATACAGGATTATAAGCCCATCGTAAGTTGCAAATATCATTAAGCTGAAAGTGCATTTAATACACCTAATCTACCCAACATCATAGCTTAGCCTAGCCTGCCTTAAATGTGCTCAGAATACATTAGCCTACAGTTGGGAAAAACCATCTAACACCAATCCTATTTTATAATTAAGTGTTGAAATATCTCATGTAATGTATTGAATACTGTTCTGAAAGTGAAAAACAAAATGGTTGTCTGGGCACAGTGTAATTGTAAGTGTGTCAGTTGTTCACGCTGGCGATCTGAGGCTCACTGATGGTGCCCCGCATCCCAAGAGAGTACTGGACTGCATATCGCTAGCCCAGGAGAAGATCAAAATTCAAAGTATGGTTTATACTGTTTATTGCTT